TATATGAACTATTTTATCACAATAACAGCATGTGCACAGCACAGGAAAAAGATATGAAACGCATTTGAATCAGCAGTGATTTTTTATTGTATTTTATGATAGAATTGAAAAGGCTACGTACAAGAACCATTAAGTTTCACACGTTGCTTGCAGTATACTGTAATTACTCACCAAAACAATTTTGTAATTAATAATAACTATAATAATTGTGACGTCATCACTGCAACTCCCAATGTTATTTGCCTATTCCCCACAGTCCAATAATTTTTCAATTAGTGGACGCTTGGCTTGATTTTTATTTTTTAGGTTTGTGCGCAAAAAAAAAACAAACCTAATTTTTTGTCACTACAAAGACATTGCGCACCATGACAAAAATTGAATTGTAATTGAAAATTGCTTTCGTAAAACAAGGTTAATTAGAACCTAAAGGAAGTTACTTGAAACTCAATACTAAGTATGAACAATTAATAAAGGAATTCCTTGAATCAATACACCCTAATACACTAAGCAAATTGAACATTTAATAGGAATATTATAGACCTATTTTCAAGACTCAATGAACGAAATTAGATGTAGGCTTCTAATAATAACAATACTGTAATAATAATAATAATAATAACAATAATAACAATAATAATGATAATAATAATAATAATAATAATAATAATAATAATTTTTTATTATTATTATTTTATTTTTTAAGAAAAGTTGTTTAAACAAGTGAATGACCATAGCTATGCCATTTTCATTTGAGAGAAGGTATTCAGAATAATTTCATATAATTTATATATTATTTTAGGAGACACTAAAAATATTTTGGAACTTGCATTGTCAATTATAATGATAGATACATTTAGGTTATTTTTAACACTTTAGGCCACTGTTACGCAACCTATGGGTCACGACCCAATTGATGAGTTGCATAACCTCTTTAGATCATGAAAAATTTACTTAACACAAACAAAGACAAATGAAATTAAATTACAGTAAACGAAAGTGCAACTTTCGTGTGACAAGTGCGTCAGTTTACTTTTGTTCACAGTTTCAAAACATTTGTACTTCAGTTATTACAACTTTAAAGATTAAATATTAAATATGTATATAACAAGTCGTTGACATCTCAACGTCTTTTTCATTGAGTTATGTATCTAAAGAACACACATGAATTACATCATGCTCACGCTTAAATTTTCTCCCAAAATAAAATATATATATATATATATATACACTGCCACTTTACTATTTTACAAAATACCTGGTTTATTATGAAAATTGTTTTGAATCATAGAGATAGAGATAAATGTAGATGTATGTGAGTGACGACTTTTTTATGAAATTTTCTCATAGTTCCTTTATTTATATTTAATTAATTATAATTTCTTATGTAATATTAATTTTACAATGCTATGTTTGAAATGTTTTCTGTATGCAATGTTTTTGATATGATATAATAAAAAAACAAAACTTTAAAGTATCAGTTTCGTTCATTTCAATGTGTTAGGCTTTCAGCTGCAAATTATAATGAGAGAACATTTTTAAATTTAACGTGTCTCTGTCTTTGCATAACCCATAAATCTCTGGCAGCACTGGAATATATAATAAAATGTCTGTAGATCATTAATTTTAAAAATCCTTTAACTTATAGAAAAATTTGATAACTTACGTGGTTTTGTAAATAAGTAATTCAAAGTTGTTTTCTTTTTTTCAATTTTGGGTTTTACATAGTGATTGTGTGAATTGATTAATCAATTCTCAAAACAATCAAGTGGTTGGTTCTTCCCCCTATCCCTCGCGCGTATAAAACAACGGACGTTTTATTGACTTCGGGTTCAACGGGTTGCGCCTGAGTGCTTGACATATAATTTGGGTCGTGGGGATATAAAGGTTGCAGAACAGGGCTTTAGGCTATAGTAGAGTTTAAGAAATTTTACGGTTTGTTGGCTGACCTGTTTCACAAAGTGTTCCAGAAAATCCAGAACGACAGCTACATGTAAATGCAGTACATGAGGTAGATGAAGCATGACATACACCTCCATTCAGACATCGGTTATTGGTACAGCCATTAGAAACTGAAATAAAAAGGAAACACCGACAACAATATTAAGGTAAAAAATACAATATATAAAGAAGCACTGTGATGTTAGCGGCAAAACATGACATGGAACAGACAGGTAAACAGATTCATGATTACCGACAACACAAAGAAATTTATGTCTACTAATATTAACTAAAATTTCAATCATATCGTATCGTTTTCAAAGTAGCAAGGCTATCGTAAGCGCATGAAAATGCATAAGGTTAAAATCTCAATTTTTATAAAAGCGACATTTTCGTCCCAAAAAATCTTTTATTTAAATTTTTTTTTTAAATTTTTATTTGCTTATTTCTGATAAAAAAAAAAGACCAAATAGATTCTAAACCAGTTTGTACACG